ATCTTAATGGAAGAGAAGGAATTGAAAGGCTTGTGATTATGTAGGCATAAATTCTTCCCACAGTACAAGCAAGCAGTATGTGTGAATCCATGATGAGGATGATTGTTTTTTTGGTCTGTTGGTACATGTTCATTGTGTGTGTGTGTCTGTGTGAATCTGTAATTATAAAAGGTTTGTGCAGTGTGAAGTGATCTGTTCTCCCACCACAGGCTGTGATTCTGAGCTATAATCTGCCTTGATGACGCTGATCACAGCCTGTGAATGGAGGTGCTGCGGGACAATGCTCAACCGCTCTGTGCCGGTGTGCCATTACAGAGATGACATCATTCCACTGCAGCACTTAGCACGCATGCACACACTCACACACACACTCACTCACTCACACACACACTCACACACACACACACACACACACACACACACACACACACACACAGAAGTATCATTTACGACTGCTCAGTTCTCAGGTTCCCCTCCCACCCCCCACCCCCCTTTGTCTTGGATCCGTCCTCGTGTGGCCAGCAGCAATTAGCGTGTGTGTTTGTGCATGTTTGTGTGTATGTGTGTGGAGCAGGAGTTCAGATAAGGTATAGAAATCAGGCAAGAGGCGAGCTATTGAGATTAAGAGAAGCCCTACCACATCCATCATCGGTGCAGTGTCAGTGCTGGGGGGTGGGGTGGGGGAGAGAAGCCCACTAATGGCCATATCTCGACAGATCTATCACATCTCCATCTTGTTTACACTTTGAACCCCACACCACATACTGATGACTCACTTCTCATTAGTCAGTGCACTTGTACATGGCATCGTTTCCATTTGTGTGTGTAGAGAGAAAACAAAAGGCTAGATAGATTAGATTAGGTTAGATAGATAGATAGATAGATAGATAGATAGATAGATAGATAGATAGATAGATAGATAGATAGATAGATAGATAGATAGATAGAGTATTAGTCATTATGACTAATAGTACTGGAGGCCAGTCTGTCTTTTTGTTTGTTCAAATTGCAAAGGTATTTATGCTTAAGCCTTTTGTTATGGTTCAGACTACGTCTGTTGAATGTGCTGTCTGACAACATCAAACTACCATGTCATAAGGCTAGGTTGTTTAAACTCAAAGGTGGGGTCCAGAAACTGTCCATCAGTAAGCAGAGTGGGATTAGAAGTCAGAATTTAGTCATAGGTCATGAGGTTTGAGAGACGATTAGAGGTAGACATTATATTATGATGATAAATATGGCAGTATACTAGCTCAGAGATTCAATTTGAATCTGTTTTTTCTTTCTTTTTGAAGGTTTTTCTAAATTTTTTTATGTGTTGTGTATTTATACTGTTAATGTTGCTGTTAAGTGCCACATGTTCATGTTTTAAAGAAATGACAGATGGCCAAAAGACCACCTCAGTTGACAGTAACGTTGTATTCTATTCTATGATGAAGCTGCAAAAATTTGTGTTTGCCCTAGTTAATGTGCATGTAATGAATTTTGACCTGATATGATGACTACAGCCTGATTGATACTGGATTTACTGAAGGCTGATACCAAGATGAATATTTGAAAGTTTAAATCCAATAACAATATATCAACCGATATTTTTACACAAACACATAACATAAATAATGCTTTTTAAATAATTGTAACCAATTATGTAAAGGGAAGGACATTCTACAATGGAACAATTAAACAGTGGAGGAGAAACTATGGACTTAAGACACTCTAAATTACACTTGACATTCTGTACTGCAATTGTTCGGCAGACTCATATGCCAGTATATCTGCAGTAAGATACATACTATTTGTACAGTGTATGATGTGCCTTCTTTTCATGTCAGGTGATAGCATGTCTTCCTCTGAGCTCTTGTAGCTGTCACAATGGATGAAACTATGACTCACAGCCCTGGATTTAACGTTATATAATACATTACCTGGTGAGCAACAGCTCAGGACATTGTTGGTCTGATTCCAGACCTCTGACTCACCGCCTGCATCTCGGAGAGTGGTGTTGTCTTGTGGCCGTTTCCACAGATTAAAGAAACAAATGACCAATCAGAGTTCATCAGGCAGGATTAATAATGGGATGTCATCTTCTATGGCTAAATTCATGAAAAATAGAAACAGAAAAATGGCAAGCATAAATGAGATTAAAGCAGCTGTACTTGATCGTGACAAACATTAAATTAACTGCTCCTGGAAACAACTTCCATAGCTTCTAGTTCCTTATATGAGGACATTGCTGATCTACAATGTGAACCACAAATGCATACACACTCTCAAACAGTATGTGCTGTAAGCCCAGTCACTTGTTCACATGATGAACACTAAGTTGAATCAACCATGGGTTGATTTCTGGTGGCACGTAATGAGCTCTGAGTACACAGGTTAATTGCCACAACATATTAAAACAAAGATGACATTTACAAAATATGAGCCCACTGATATGGAACAAGGCAGAGGTGAATAAAACACCAAAATGTGGGCGGAGATCGAGACGGCGGGCAAACAAAAAGACACAGTTAGTTCTGACTTGACAGGAAACCAGCCAGCGAGACAACCACAAACACAAGAATCAGACAACAGATTTGTGATTATTTTGCTGTGTATGTTAATGATATGAGCATATACCGGAATGTTCTAACAATACAAAACACAACAATACAATATATAACAATAAAAAAACTCAAAGTGAAAATTTGAAAGCATTTAATTTTCTGTCAGTTAAAAGCTAATAAATGTCCTTCACATAACTTGGCTTAGAATCACTAGATCTTGAATCTGGCTTTAGCTGCTCTAAAATAAGTTCAGAACCCCCCCTGAGTTTAGAAGAGTTTCCAGCACACCAATAACCTCAGTAACCTCGTGCAGACTGGTGTGACTACAGCCAGACATGTAGTCAGGTGACCAGCTGACTGGGAACTGCTATTGAAATGTGGGTTTGGTATTTGTAGTTGTGGTGAGCCTGCTATGTCCATCATGAAGCATGTTTGTGTATTTTGGAGTTTTCAGGAGTCAACCCTGAGCTTTGCAGTGGCTGTTTGGTGGAGCACAGTGGATTTTCTTTTCCCCAATTCTTTTATCCCTTCTGAAATATCTCCTCATCATGAAAGAGGGCTTGAAGATACAATGCAAACAGAAATGACTTTCTGTTTGTTTGAGGTTCTTTTGTGTATATGAGTATAAATGAAAGGGGTAGACCTAACCTACCTGATGTGTGTTCTGGGTTTGGCAACAATGACAAATAGTGTGGTTATGAATGTACAATATGGTACCAGCCAACACAGCTTGGGTTTCACAATTCATTCAGACTGGTTTCTACACTAACTAAGACCGAAGGCAACATAGCAAAAAGTCAGGCATATTTGGAGGGCTATAAATATACAGTACTTTGAAGATTTGAAGTGGGTTTGTAATTGCATATTCATAATATGGAGCCTACTATAGATGCGGGTGGTGGCAGAGCCTCTTACTGAGGTAATCTTTTTAATAAGCAAATGTACTTTTGCTACTTTGGTGTTAATTTTTATAATGTTGTGTTAACTTATTTGACATAAAATAACTTTTCTGTAGCTTCTCTACACTGTCAGGAACATAATTCTGCTGGAGAAATAATTAAAAGATTTTAGCTATAAAGAAGATCAGTTCCAGCCTTAAAAAAAACTTCCCATGTGTAATTCTTCTGAAACTGGGGGACATAAACTCATTCTTAGGTCTTAAAAATCCCAAGAAACAATACCACAACATGAAATTGGTTTTCTAAATGATGGCTATGATCCTGCTGAGCATTATTTAAGATAATATGAAAAATTAGGAGACTTCAACACTGTTGAAATTACAAACACAGAAATCTGCTTTATTAACCCTGGAGATGATGTTACAATGGGACTACATTTTGGCAGGGGTCAGTTTTTCTAGGCAGGTTTTCTGGTTTGCTCAGCTTTTAAGTGAAGTGTTGATGATCCTATTTAAGGTGTGATCATAGTTAGAAACTGTGTGATTTATGTAAAGATGTAAGTTAAAAAGTAGTGATTAGTATTTGAATGTTTTTTGGGACACAGTGACAGCTTTAGGGTGAACCTGCACACAGTGGGACGAGATGTTTTAAACATTCGCTAGATGTCCTTGCTTTCATGATAATTAGATATTATTACTAGACAGAACTTAAGCACTCACATGAAAGATCATCACTTAAGTAATTGATTGTAATTAATTGAATACTGCCGAGATCAATACATTTTCCCTAAAAAGACAAAAAGATATTCCCATTAATGCTACACTCTGAAGATTCCTTCAAAGATTCACAGAGAACATTTCAGTTTATGGACAGGTCTCCTGTCAACTAACCCTTAAGACAAACATATCGCACAGAAACACACACACACACACACTTAAATTAACTGGATAATCTGGAATAATATCATCTTTTTTTTAACAGGCTTGAGAGGGAAAGTGGCCTATTGGCTGTTCTAAACAGGAGTAAGGCAAGAAGGGGAATAAGAAGAGTCAGCAGAGACCCAGGGGAAATTTCAGACATGCAAGTGACCCCCATCTCTGATTCTTCCCCCTTATGTCACAACAATCAAGGAAAAGTGCCCAGCCCAGTGGTATCAGAGGGTCGCTCTATGTCTCATCTAATTTGATACAGCCCCAACAAACATTGTGCAAGAGGACTTCCAAGAACTTGAGAGGAACATGGAGTTGTTTTGCTGTTCCCGCCAGACTGACATGAGAAAGAGATTTATCTTCTGGAGGGAGTGTGAGGTCAAAGTTGTTCATGCACAAGCGCTCTGTCACACTGTTTTGGAAAACAGTTGGCAAGTTAACTTGTGAATTAACATCACATGTAAGGCAGGCGAGAGCTGGGACCTGATCCTTGCTGGGCTGGAAACTCCTCTCATGGCAATATGAGCTGTTAACAGCGTCCCTGTGCTTCCACAGCACTCATGAAATGATGACATTTTAATATTTTTACAGCAATAAAATGAGTTAAGACAAGGACAAGGAAAGTGTGTGGAGCCTCACCAAGCTTTATTTACATGCGCACCATTTCTTATACAAACTAGATTACAATTCAAAATGGAATACACAGGAAAAATACCCACTAACATCAAGTCAAGAAGAAGAAAGATTAATAAAGGGCAAAGTTCAAAGGGCTTGGTTCAGAGGGTGTATGGAGGGGAGCTGGCCTGGGCCTCTAAACAAGTATGGAAAAGGTTTGAGAGAAGATAATGAAAAGGAAATGTCCAAGAGGTGATTAAGGTATCTAGTGGTATGTCTCTTCTATTTTTTTGCTTTTTTGCTTAGCTTTAAATTTGCACGCGTTGTGCTGCAGGTGTGTGTGTTGGGCACAAGAAGAGATAATCTGTGCCTGAATGAAGCAGTAGCACTGAGTGGTCGTGTGGAAGGCCTGCTCCACCATGACTAAGTGTAAACTATCTTCCCGAGTAGCCAAAACATTTTTACACTGAATGTACAGAAAGTAAGCAACACCTTCCTGCGATTGAGATTTGCAGTTTATCAAAGGATCAATAACCCTCTTTAAATAGAAAGGATTACAGGGTTCCCTGGATTCACCTTGTCAGTCTTCTTCACAGGTGGAGTAAAGCGCTCTTAACGTTTAGTACAGTCAGTGTAGATACATTTCAATGATTAGCAGTTCAGGTGATGGCTCAGGATTCCCCCTGCCAAAAGACACATGATAATGCTCTGGAAATTTTATATGTGACAAGGTGTAGTATATTCCAGCTCGTTGTCGCTTTAACCACATCAAAGTTATAGCCAAACGCTCAAGGAGAGCACCGGGACATGAACCTACTGTACTCCACGTGGAATAAAACAAGTGTGAAGCTGAGGAACGTCCGTTAAAGAGGCTTTCCCTGTGTCAGCGTCTATGTACACACACTCATGATTAATACGGGAGGATGGTGCAAATGCTGCACTGTAAGCCCTGACTTTAAAAATAGAAAGTGTGTGTTTGAGTGCTAAAGACACAGGGTTCCTCTCTGTATTACAATTTCTGTCGCAGGACGGCACCATTGGAAGGATCGAGGGGGGTACATCTAGGGCATGCACTAAACCTCAGATAGCACAGGCGTTCATTCTAGCCAACCATGCACACACACTCCTCTCCCTTGGCCTCAAAGTGATATACACACACATCTGTACACTATTATACACAGCGGGGCATACACTTCCATACACTACTCCAGACAGAGAAGGGATACCACAGTCTCCAGATGCTACAACAATGGTGCTTTCCACCATTTTCAAAATCTGGTTCAACAATGAAATTGCTGGTAACAGTGTTCCCTCCTACTCGCCGTGTAACGTTGTTCATTATTTCTTCAACTTTACCTTCAGAGGTATCACAAAATCCAAGGGTCAAGTACTACATGAGTATATAAGGACATACAGCGAGTATATGTATTTCACACAATTCATAATGCATAAATACATACATGCATACAGTCGGCTGTGCTGTATGCACCATGAGGGATAGTGAGGGATTACACATTCTTGTGAGATTAATTCAACTGAAATAAACTCCACAGATAAACACATACACAACGCACATTAACATGTACTCAGGAGACACAGGAAGTCACCTGCAGGAGCACCAGGCGTGTCCATGAGGGGATGTGTGTATGTGTGCCACAAGTTTGACAAAGAGGGGGAGAAAAATGCTAAGACAGCAAAACCAAAAATAACAGACCGCGTGCAATCTTAATCCTGACGGTTATCTTCCTTCCTCCTCTTCATCTTGACGGCCAAAAGTTCACAGGTTACAAGATCACAAACACAAAGCATTACTCTTTTTTTATCAAGAAATGTTAAAATACCATTAGAATGTGACTTGATGTTACTTTAACGGGAAGCCTCCCTTTTCCCCCCTGAGTGATTCTTTATATGCATAAGAAGCCCCACAAGCTCATGACAAGAAAACATCAGAGCTTAACACAGATCCCTGGTATTATTTTTTCTATCTATGTGTGTGTAATGTATGTCTGTGCATGTGTTTGTGTGTGTGTGTGTGTGTGTGTCTGTGCTGTGATTTGGCTGCCAGCATATCCTACTGTTTGTTTCAAGTAATTTGGCAATATACAGAGATAGCTTATTGTTTTACTCGAGAAACAAATGGCTTCTAGAGGAATGAGGCTAAAACCCTTCACACCTCCCTCCCACCCCCACCCCTGCCGTCTACAGGTTCAACCTCACTGTGCTACAAGTGGCTGCAGCTTTGGGCTTCTGCAGGTCATGTGTAAAAACAGAAACAAAAACACACAAAATGCACGGCTTGCTCTCAGGGCAGGATTCAACACTGTTTACATAGCACCTGTTATGGTGTGGAAATGTTCACAACTCTAGCACACAGGTATTCATTTTGGCTACATCAACAGAACTCACCAGAAGTTAAGAAATCTACGAAAAGACAGACAAGATGTGACCGCCTCCTTCTTGAACTTTTCACTGCCCTGCACTGTACAAATATCCATGACAGAGAGTTTCCTCCTCTTAGTCTTTTTCCATTTTTTTTTTTTACAGTTAGATACACACAAAAGATAACAAATATTTTTGTAATATTCGGCTAATTGTAATATAACCCTCAGTGTGGAGCATTTAATTTAATTCAAGCAATTTAAAAAAACAAAAATGGAAGTGCATGGCAATAAAAATAAGAAATCGTAACTTCAAAGGGTTCTGAAGTTTTGCAAACTGGGGCAAAGTGTTAGGTTGTCTGTGTGTTTGCATGTACTGTATGTGTGGCCACTCAGTGAGTAAGATACCCCATTTCCATCTTTTCATTTCATCAATACACCAAATGTTTTTGTACAGACATGTATGATGCAGAAACAAATATGATAAAACAGAAAATCCAGTAAACAGACGCTGAACATTTAAAATCACAAAGTGAGAACAGAGGGATTTTTTTTTAACATAACACATCCCAGGAAACCACTGGATCAGATTTACACCATGTCACTTCTTGATTTTTTTCACTTTACACTTTGTCTTTTTTTGTCGTCAGCGGGAACAACTGCACCGTGCACTCCTTCAATCTTTCCTTGATATTTAGTCCCTGTGTTCCACCTGAAACCCCTTCTGATAAGCAGTTTCTCTTTGATATCAACAGACTGGGTGTCAAAGGAAAATTGCATAATTCTACGATTTGTGAGTTTGACATAGCTTTCTTTTTGTTGTTGTTGTTGTTGTTGTCATTTCACAGGAGGCTTTGAGGGCTGATGTGCAGCATCTCTAGAGTCAGTCGGATCGTTCAAGGTTCACCAGTGTGGGACGAAGGTAAAGCTCTTGAGAGGAAGTCTTCTTCTGTAAACACAGGGTTTGTATTTGTGCTGATGGCAGGTTTGGCAAAAAGGATGTGTGTCTGATCTTCTCTTACACTACACAGTTCAGACCTGGAGAGATAAAGGACGAGATGATTATGCCTGAGTATTCAAACTGTACTTAAAAGCAAGAACAAATCTTTTCTGTTCTAAAAGTCAAACATTTTGTACCTAGGATCAGATCAGATCGACTATTGGCCAAATGTCACAAATCTACTGTAAACATGTTTTTTGTTCAGCTCTGGTTATTTGTAACAATAGGTTCACGTGATTAAAGTGACCACTGGTGCTTTCTCACAATAAATGCACTTTAATGTGAAGGCAGTTGTAGGCCTTCACTGTGAAACGGGAAGTGTTGACAGTAACTATTGCGGCTTGCAAGGCATGGTAAGTTTCAACAACAGGGCAATGTTTTAAAAGATTTACAAACACAAAACTTTTATTTAGCTTTTTCAGATGAAACTTTACATGTTTAACAAATCTTGATAAATGAGAATGTCGCAGGAAATGAGGACTGATGTTACATCAAACAAACATTTAGCAACTGGAGTTAGGAAAAACTACTGGTGAAGCTACCTTGTTTAGCAGGTCATTTGTCAGTCGGTTTGGGAAAAACGTAACGTAAAGTAACAAGTAATACACAGGTGAAGTGGGTTAGTGAAGAGATGCAGAAGCCTGTAATTATGCTGAGAGAACCTTTTCCTTGTGGAGTCACAGGACAAGGAGGGCAGCACTAACTGATTATGGTTTATAATTGCAGCTGCAGCTCAACTTTTTTATTTTTACAGGTCTGTATATATTTACAACACCAGTAACTACAGCATAAAAAAAATCCTTCATACAATTTTTTTTACAAGCCTAGAAAGCATGATGGTATATGAACGTATAGTTAAGAAGTGATCAGTAGTAACACTTTCATGTTAGCTAACACATATCTTATTCAGTTCTACAGAGACCTTTATAGACATTACATTTAGAAAAGTAGATCTGTTCTTGGCACCGGCTGTACCCTGAGGTTAGGTGTTCAGTATTGGGTATTGGCGAGAAAAGCCTGGCTCAGTGCACCTCTAATACCTACATCTAAGTATGCTCACAGCCTGTGCACACAACCCTCAAACATACACACCTGCTCTGCTCCTTCCCGGACTGACCCTCTCAGCCGGGCACCCAGCTTTGAGAGGTCTGCTTGGTGTTTGTGAAGTTGCTGACTCCGTTCATATTGGCCAGAGAGTCAAAGTTAAAGTCCAGACCATCTGCGTCCATCAGCTCGTTCCTGATGATGGAGTCCATATCACATTCTAGGCTGCTGTTGAACATGTCCAGGTCCAGATCTGTGGGGAAACGGTCCTGGCAGATCCCTCCGCTGCTAACTGTGCCATTTAGGAAGATCGAGGTGTCGATCTGCATGGAAGTGGAACCATTTCCTCCCAAGGGTGAGAGCAGGAGCTGCTGCTTGGCATTAGCCAGAGCGTTCGCCTCGTTGGCTAGGTTCAGACCTCCGTTTAAAGACCTCAGGGAGCTCTGGTTGTGGTTGTTACTTTGCAGCATCTCCCCTTGGCTGCCCTGAAGTCCTCCAGTGGTCCCAAAGGTCATTACGGGATCATTACGGAGCATGAGGCCACGGCGAGAATTCTGGGAAATGATGGCGGCGGCACTGGCCTGTGACATCAGTGGGTCAGACTGGGTCATCATGACATCACTATGGCTGTGGCTGTCAGAGTTGAGCAGGTCTTGTAGTGTCTGACTGCCAAAGCGAGACAGGCTGATGCTGGAAAAGGAGGTCTGCTTGTTCTCCTGGATTGTCTGCATGGGGGACGGACGCAGAGAGGACCCCGTTGTGTGTGGGCCAAAGATGGAGTTACTGAAACCATTACCTCCACCATTAGAAGAAGAGTTGGTGGAGGGAGAGGAGGTGGAGGAAGGTGAGCCTAGCCCATTGGGTTTGGACCCAAAATTGAACCCTGAGGAACCATTTAGAGCGACCTGTCCTGTAACGGTTGACACCAGGTTGATGTTTTCCAGCAACTCATCCATCAGGTCATCTGTGAGTCCGTCATTCAGGTTCATCGTACCTGCCAGGTCTGCCAGGCGGGGCAGCTCAGTGGGTACAGACTTCCCTGTTGTTGTGGCGTTGCCAGGAGACAGCGCTCTGCCAGGGCTGGAGTAGAGCATAGGTGAAAGAGGAGGCTCATCATCGGGCACCTCGTCCAGCTCAGGGTTGGCCAAAATGGGTGACAGGCGACCGCTCACTGTGCTGGCGTTGGAATTAGTGCGCGAGCGGAAGTCTGTCCAGGCGTCCAGCTCCTCGCTGCTGCGTGACGTTGGGCTTCCAGGCCACTTGGAGAGACCTGAAGGACTGTCTCCGCCGCCCTCGCCAGCTGCAGCTGCTGCAGCCTGCAGGGCAGCCTTCTTCTTAGCAGCACGCCCACGGGCGGACTTGGTGTACTTGTTGCTGTTATCCATGGAGACTGCACGGCGGCGGGGAGCTTTTCCACCCTTCCCTCCCTCTGGGTTGATCATCCACCAAGAACTCTTGCCTGTTCCCTCGTTCTGGACACGGATGAAACGGCTGTGGAGGGAAAGGTTGTGCCGAATGGAGTTCTGTAACACAAAGGAGAAAAAAAAAACTGAGTTGAGTGATGCGTGTAAAATCCTTTTGAAAAAACTACCCAAACAATGACTGTCATCAATATTGATTTGTTGTATTCTGTCTTTTCAACACTCAATGAATACCTCTCATTAAGTCCAACAACACTGATTCATAAACCACCCACTTCTACTGATTCTGCAGCAATGTAAACAGTTGCTCTTGATGACTAGACACACAAACAAGGCAAAAATCCTATTGTTTCACTTGTTCCACTAAATATAGGCAGGAACACATTAACGTGCAGCAGCACTCAGCGCTGATGTCCGCATTGTTCCCACTGTAGCTTTTGTGTTGTGGGTATAAAAGAGAGACTGGTCTATAATCAAGCATCTCCTCGATTATGAATGACACATACAAAGAGCCCCTGTGTTGCATAAGGAGCGCATTCTGTGTCAGATTATGTGTATTTGTGCGTGCCTGTGTGCGAGTCTCAGCTGGTGTATATTGATCTACTCTGAACTCCTTCCTTGTGCGAGCCCCAGAGGCTCATTGTGGGGAAACTGGTGCACATGACAGCCCCTGCTAATGATCAAGAGTTTTATTCACAACACAGATGTATGAACATTAAAAGGCTCAAACTGTGATATAACGCCCCTGTTGAATCACTTATTGCCTCAGTGCTGTCTTTGTTTACATATACATTTACCATCTTATCAGACATTCTTTCTTATTGTACATGTTGTAGCACTTGTACACACACTTTTAGCCTTGCTGGGTCGGCTAGTCCATCACTGTGGTCCAGACTAATATAACTCAGCAACATCTGAATTTATTTCCCTGAAATGTTAACTCATGATTCCCAGACTTTTCCTCTAACGCCACCATCAAGCCAAAATGTCAAATTGTCCAATACTAATGACCAAAACCATCAACCTCAACTGTACTTTGTGTTTAGTACTAATTAGCAAATGTTAGCATGCCAACATTCTACACTAAGATGGTGGACATGGTTATATCTGCTAAACATCAGCATGTAAACATTGTAACTGTGACCATGCAAGCATGCTGAAGTTAACTCAAAGTAATAGGACATAACTATAATATATATATATATAGGAAATGATTCTCTTTTGGATAATAGTATATAAAGTTATGACTTTTTTGACTTGACTTTTGTCTCTTTTTACACTTTTTACACTTTCTTCTTCTCCCCCCCCCTCCTCTTTTTGTGCCCCACAACCTACTGACGGCCTTGTTGAATTCATTATTTTGCCTCAGTCTCTTTCCCTTTCCATACACCTTCCTCTGCTGTAGTTTCTGTTGTTTCACAAACACATAGCTCTTATGGGCCCCGAGGGACAACAGGGCTATGCTATATCCTCCCATATAAACAACCCAACCGCCATCCACAACATGCACAGATTTCCCCCTCCTGGTTTACTCATGTATATTTTTATTCTCTAAAACAGAACAGATTTCTGGGTTTCAAACGGCGAGGGCCTTCATTTTTGAGTTTTTGTGGGAATCACTATATTGTTTTCCATGAAGCAGTCCCGTCTGTCCTGGGCAACAGTTTACAGACAATTTGGTCTGGATTGTTTTTCTGGTCAAAGGCAGTTCAGAGAGGAGAAAGAGCAGGCTTAAGTTACAGTTCTGAATGCTACGCTGGCAAAGAAAGTTTGATCTCTAGGGCCAGACTGAACCTATGACCCTGGGCTGTATGTGTGTATTTGAGCATGTGTGGTAGGTACGTGGAAATGTCCATTTTTGTATTTACACGCTCTTGGGCGTTTTGCAATTTTAAGTGCAAAAGTTGTTTCTGCAGGACTGTGTGCTTTTTTGGGCCCACTGCTGTGCATTAGAGAATCTGGAAAAAGTTGCTTTTATTCATGAATGGCCTATGTGTGAATGCACATTTCCCAAGTGTGCATGTGTGTGTATTCTGTGCAATGAGGTAAGATGAGAAGAGATACCAGGGAGACCAGTGTTTATCCTCTGCCAGCATCTCTCGAGGCATGACGCAATGCTGGTTTATTACAGAACATTTTACAAACACAGGCACGCACGCACGCACGCACGCACGCACGCGCTAAATGTTTCCAGCTGACAGGGAGATGTAAATAATGGCAGAAGACAGACTTTGTAAAGGAAAGAAATTTGGGGGGGATGAATGAGAGGAGAATGAATGGAATGTGAGTTTCCTTCTCCTGCTGCTGTAAACATTTACCTGCCAGCACCTGACACTTCATCAATCCTTCTCCCTTGCTTCATCCTACACCATCTTTCTCTCTGCACCTCCCCACCCCCTCCTCCAAACGTAGCCACTTGGTTAATGTTTCTCTTTTTCGTGCCACTGCTTGTATCCTTTAAATGTCAGGTGAGATTTTTCTAACTCAGTGTGATGGAGCAGCAATAAAAGTTAACAGGACATCTGCAGCCGAAGCACGGACAGAGAGAAAGAGGGTGAGAAGATGATGATTGTAAGATGCAAGAAAGTAAAATAATGTGCCTGTTATGTATCAGATATAGTGTGTGCCGTACATAGTAGTAGTACATCCTCCCATATTCTTACAAACCCTGTACTGATTATCCCTGTTGGTCTGGGTAATTTTTTTTTCAAGCTCTTATTGTCAGTTTATTCTTTTTTTTGCAGGAAGGACATTATAAAGGAAATAAAACAAAAAAGTAAACCTAAATCTATTAGGAGGTTACCAATTAAGGAGGTAGGGACGTAATAAGAAAGATATGGAAAATGACAGAAGACCTTAGGGTGAAGGAAACAGGTTATCTGTACTTGTGGGTGAGAGAAAGAAACTTTGGGCATAATAAAATTTGAGTTGTTAATGATACTTGTGGGAGTGTTACTAGAAACAAGTCAATATTATGGATGATTGAGATAAACAAAATCAATCAAAAATGATTAAAGAAGGATGACATTTTCAAGAAACTGATTGACATTGATAATAATAATAATAATAATAATAATAATAATAATAATAATAATAATAGAAGTGATAGTGATGGCACAGAGGATTATTGCTACCAGAGAGAAAATAAATGGAAGATACAAAAGTATGGGAATGTACATTGTTGTTTGTTGAAATGTACTTATTTACTTTAAGTCAGCGGCAGGTTGAGTGATGTAAGAAGTTTTGAATATGTTTCATTGAATTGTTGAGATTGATTTTTTTGAATGGCTGAGCTTTGTTGCAGTGTTACATGTTCTGTTAAAAGATTCAACCACTGTGGAATATTGAGCTGTTTTTGTGATGTGTCAAGTGTACTTGAATCTCCTAGTAAACACAGTAATGGGGATAGGGGGATGTTGTATCCAAGGAACTTTGCTAGTTTAGAGGTTATTTCTTTCCAGAAGTGTTTTACTGGTGTGCAGAGCCAGAGTGCATGGAAGTAACGGTCAGTTGTGTTAAGAGTACAGTGAATGCAGATGTCAGATTCGTCTGGTATATAAGTCCCATTATATGCATCTTGTGTTGAGTAATATATTCTGTAAATGACTTTGTACTGAATCAGTCTTGTTTTAATGTTTTTTGACATGCTAAAGATGTTCTTGCATATTTGCGTCCAGAATTTATTATTAGTGTTGAAGTTGAGATCTTTTCCCCATTTATATTGTAGCTGACTGGCTAGGTAGTAGTGCTGGAAGTTAGGGGCCTCTAGGCCCCCCTGAGTTTCCGGTGTTTGTAATGTAGTCAGTTTAATTCTCGGCTTTTTATTTTTTTAATAGAATTTTGTTACAAATGAGTCTACTGTGTTAAACCATTTAACAGTGGATTGGACTGGAGTCATTGAGAATAGGTGGAATCAGGGGCGGACTGGCCATTGTGGCGTTCGGGAGCAATCTTAAGAATTAAGAAGAAAAAATGTTGGCATAAGAGGCAGATAAATGTGCCAAAGGAATCTCTCTATTTCTTTATGTATATTAGCTGTGGAGGTGATGCACAGGGACAAGGTGATGATGACCCAGGGTGATAAACACTGCTCTATTTTATGGGAATGTATTGTAGTTTTTGAGTATATTTAAGACTGACTCAGGCTTGCCCGACCTAGTCTTGTTCAGTGCAGAGCTGCCTTCCTTATACAAACAGAGAGGAGGCAGATGTCATTCTGAAGTTTCTTGAAGGTCTTCAGCATAATCTGCTTCACTGTATACAACAAAAACACTAATATGTATTAAAATAACTGCAAAAAATATTTATGCCCGCCCCCAAAAGGGCGCTCGCATAAAAGGCCTCTCCGTCTCAAAATCCCGGGTTGAATTTCAGTCCCAGTACATCCCTGGGTAGAATAGTTAATTTTTTTCCAGTTTATTGAGTAGTCGGAAAGGGAGTAGATGTTGATGATATTCATAACTTCCTTGAGTGATTTGTTTGGGTTTTGCAGAGTTAATGTTATCTGCATAAAGGCTAATTTTGTGTATTAGGTTATTTGTTGTAATACCATTAATGCTGATATTTTGACGTACTGTTGCGGCTAATGGTTCGATAAAGTTTGCAAATAGTGACGGTGAGAGATGTGTTGATTAACGAAAGAGCCTGTGCAAAGAGTTGGGTCTTGTTGGGAGGATGTACTACTACTATGTACGGCACACAATATATCTGATACATAACAGGCACATTATTCTTTCTTGCATCTTACAATCATCATCTTCTCACCCTCTTTCTTTCTGTCCGTGCTTCGGCTACAGATGTCCTGTTTCCTTTTATTGCTGCTCCATCACACCGAGTTAGAATATGCTGTATTCATATGTTGTGGAATTTATTGTGATGTTTTTATCTCATCTGCCATTCTAATGAATAAAGGTGAAAGTGTTAGCTAAAAGTGTTTGTAGAACTCAATGGGGAAACCGTCCAGTGCAGGGGCTTTATTATTTGACATTTCTTTAAGAGCGTTTTCATATTCTATTGCTGTTAGTGGATTGTCTAAGATGTCAGCCTGATGTTTGTTTAGTGTAGGCAATGTAATGTGTTGTTGTTCTGGGTAATTCAATGAT